TGATTTTTTCTAGAGTTACCCTAAAGCGATTGTTTATATGAATTTGTACTTTCAACTCTTGATTATTGTACTTTCAAATTTTATAAAATTAAATCTTAATTTTTCAAAAAATTCACTGATCCCTTCTCCAAATTTCCAATCAAACTGGGCCTAAAAGTTGTTTGAAAGCCAAACTTGGATGACTACTTAAATATAATGTTGGATCAGTACAAATTTGAGATGATATTCGCTCCATTTGTTATTGAAAACATTTTTCTATATTTGATTACATTCTTGAAACTAATGCATTAATAATTATATTAGTGGCGGTAATAGTGACAGTGACGGAGTGGGGGAGGAGGTGGTGGTGGAGGTGTTGGGGTAGTGGTGGGCAGGGGTGACAGTGGTGGCGGTTTCGGTGGCAACAGTAGTGGTGATGGTGGTGGTTGTGGTAATAGTGATAGGATGGAGGTGGTAATAATGACAGTGGCGGAGTGGGGGAGGAGGTGGTGGTGGAGGTGTTAGGGTGGTGGTGGGCAGGGGTGACAGTGGTGGCGGTTTCGGTGGCAACAGTAGTGGTGATGGTGGTGGTTGTGGTAATAGTGATAGGATAGAGGTGGTAGTGGTGGTGGCGGCAATGGCGGTGACGGTGGTGATGGTGGAAATGATAGTGGTGGCGGCAATGTGGTGTTATTGGTAAAAGTTTAGTTCATAAAATATTTTTTGGATTTTAATAATGAAAAATATTTTTTGCCAAAATAAATTCATTTTTCATTAATCGTAAAAAATATTTTCTGTTGATTTTTGTTTTCCGTCATACTAAACATCAAAAAAATATAAAAAAAATATTTTCTGAAATACGTTTTCTGCTGAAACAAATAAATTTTGCAATATAGTGCAAGTTGGACCCAAATTTAGCCCAATCCAACTATTGCCCACGCATACTGACTCAACAAGCAACGTGCAGTAATGAACAAAGCATAACACATGAATAGAAATATTTAAAATGTGTCTTTTTTCTATTTATTTTGAAAAAAAACAAAAAACATGAGATAAATTTATCAGCAATGCTATGAATTCATAAAATTTGCAAATAAACATATCCCAAAAAAATAATCTATAGTTACGATTTGTCTTAATTGTGGATCTCACTAGACAATAATTAAATCTAAACCAATAATCACTTTTGAGGTAAATTTTTTTTTGATAAATTTTCATGATTCTTATCTTTTCTTAAATTTATTTACTTACCGCGTGATTTATCTAGCGGAACAACATGTGGACATGGTACTCCACCTGATGGTGATGATGATGGTGATGGAGATGCTGACCACCATGACGGTGATGGTGATGGAAATAACAATAGAGGGTGTGACAGATGGCGAGCTGAGGAGTTTTGAAGATTGAAAAGGAGGAGGATGGACAAGAAGAGGAAGCCAAGGACGTGGTAGGAATTTCCAGCCATTTCTTCGTCTAAACATATGTTGATCCTCTGAGCTCTTCCATTTTTAATTTATAATAATGTCTTGAATATGTGAACATAAATCAATGAAGGAAAAAAATTAGTGGAAATATTATTTTCCTCCCAAATTATCACGCGTTTTTCAGTTTGACCCTTATATTTCGATTTATTTCAATTTAATACCTATACTTTTAGAAAATTGATCAATTTAACCCCTACCGTCATATTTCGTCTACAATTGGACGGAATGTGCTGACGTGACACCAAAGTTCATTTGGAATTTTATTTTACCCCCAAACTACATATTAAAAATCAATTTGTCCCCCAAATATAAAAAAATTAAATTTAAATATTTAATAAATAATTTTTTTTCTCAATAATGAAAAAATTAAATTTTAAATAATACATATTTTGCAAAAAAATAATAAAAAATATAAAAATTCTCATTTTGAATTATTTTAAGACATGAAGCATGAATAATTCGACAAACATGTCGTACCCGTACCGGGTACTTACCGACATATGATATTTCTACATATGTACCGGGTACACAAAATATATACTCAAAATTTTCTTTCTTAATTTTCGACCTACCCAGACATATCTAATACATATTCAAGCTGTGCCGTGTTGTATCTCAGTAAAAAATAATAATTTTCTTCTATTACAAAAATAAAATTCTTTCTACTAAACTTCTTTTTCATTTTTAGTTTTATGCTTAGTATGGTTTTAAAATTAGGTTATGGTTTATAAGTTATTAATATAATAATATTTAATTTTAACTTATACCTATGCTTTTGGCATTAAATGTCAATTGTATGTTGGATTTAACAAATAAAACTATTTATCAATTTTTGTATTATTTCAAATTAAAAATAAATATTTTTTTGAAAATGTATTAAACCATACCCCGTACTCACACCCTACTTTTTAAAGATTTTACCATGTCGATGTACTCATATCGTACAAATACCAGCACTTATACCCATTCTTGTATTCCATAGGTCTCAAATTATCTCGAGTTGATCCTAGAGAAACTTATTGAGTAGAAAATTTCTTAACTACTCTATGTGTGTGTGCGTGCGTAATTGTAACTAGTTTGTTACCCAAATTAATTTCAAAATTGAGTGGGAAATTTTTTTCAAAATTCAGTAAGTAACCGGTATGGGTACGACATGTTTGTCGAAGTATCCATGCTTCATAGTTTGAAGATAATTCTAAGTGAGGACTTTTATATTTTTTATTATTTTTGCAAAGTATATATTATTTAAGATTTAATTTTTTCATTATTGAGATAAAAAATATTTATTAAATATTTAGATTTATTTTTTTTTATACTTAGGGGACAAATTGATTTTTAAGATATAGTTTGGGGGGCAAAATGACTCTAAATGAATTTTGATGCCACGTCAGCACATTTTGTCAAATTGTAGACGGAATGTGACGTAAGGAGTTAAATTGATTAATTTGTTAAAAGTTTAGGTATTAAATTGAAATAAATCGAAGTATGAAAGTCAAATTGAAAAACGTGTGATAATTTGAAGGGCAAAATGATATTTCCTCAAAAAATTAATGCCTTGAATATGTGAACATAAATCATAATGCAAAAAACTAAGTGGAACAAGAACAGAATGTGATTAATGGCAATCGTCAAGGTCTTCTTGGCGTCTTCTAAGGGATGGACTATCCATGTCAAGCCGTGGCGAAAAGACTGGTGCAAGTAAAAACTATTTTGTTTGATAATTAATTCAGTATTTAAAATTGAATGTATTTTTTTTTGATAACTCAGGATGTCCGGGCCAACTTGTGCGTACCTCGACTAATCCCTCGGAGACCAATCCCACTGTCCACTAGCGGGGGCCTATTTAAAGGCAGAGCAGAGCTCCGTATGAAAAATTGAATGTGTTTTGAGAATATTTTTTCATAAATTATTTTTTTAGTACTTGTGTTTTAATCAGTTCAAATTGTTTTCATATGTTTCAATTAAAAGACTACTCATAATTGATAATATGAAAGTTATCTGTCAAATTCTCAAATCTTCGTAAATATTTGAATTTGACTTTGCTAGTATGCTAAAATAGTTAAAAATAGTCGTCCATTCTTCACACCCGTCTTTGCATTGTTTTGTCTTCGATGTTTGGTCACTTTGCATTGTTTTGTCTTCGATGTTTGGTCGCTGGCGACCACAACACCCTTTTGCTGCCAACAATCGCATTGATCTGGTTGAACATTCCATGTAGTTGAAAATGGGTAGGTCAATTCGAATTCTTTTTTGTCTTTTGTTGAAACTCTAATTGTCAAATCTGTAATAATTTAAGAATACCAAATGTGAAATATTATATTGTGAATGGTCATATAAATTTTTTTTTTTTTGACAACAAATTTACTTAAATATATAACAAAATTTACAATTAAAAAAACAAATAATCTAAACTCAAGTACCAAATAAAAAGTAAGCAAATTGTAACAAAATATCATTTGAATATTATTTTTCTCCTATTTTTAGTTACAAATTTGTTAATCAAACTTGCATACATTGACTTATCAAATAAGTCATTTTTAATGGATGAAATTGCTAATCGATTCAATCTTTTTTATGGCAGAGTTATCAAATGTAAGATTTAGTCAATTTTAAATTTGAAAATATTCTTTCGCCATAAACAACTAAAACTGATATAATTAATTGCATTATATATACAATTTATATATTTGAGAAATAATCATCAACCAATTTCAAATTGGTCACTACATAAATTGACTTTTGTCTTTTTTTTTTCCGATTCATAATTCATCACATCCTCCATTTATTAGTTTTGAATCTTCACCGAATTTTGTCAGATCCTTTTAAATATAGGTGAATTTTTTTGTAAACTAATATAATAGCTAAATATATTTTCAAACTCTTACCTGTTAACCCATTGAAACAGGACCTATGATAAATCTCACAGACTTCTCAAGTTCTATCAAGTTCAGATTTAAATTTAAGAAAAACTCAACCTTAATAATTATTGTTGTTATTTGAACTCATATTTCAAAACAAAAATTTATTTTCTTTTTAATGCTAATTAGTTTAGTTTTAAAGTTTAAATTATAAATATTAGAAATAATTACTTAAAAAAAAGAAAAAGAAAAAAAAAAAAGAAGAGACAAGTTTGACACAGAGACCAAATTAGGAGAAAACTATAGGGGGCATGGCCCCATGTTTCTATGAAATATGCTATTTGTCATAACATTTTAATAAAAAAAAAAAATCATTTTTTATATAAAATGACCCCCTAGCATAAAAAATATATATTATATTTTTCTTTTATTTTGCATTCTCTTTCTATTTTGCACTAAACAAACTTATTCATATTAGAGATTATTTCTATGATTATTTAATTCTTTTTTATGTATATATAATTTATACATCATATTATATATACATATATCTATATAATAAGGGAAGAAATTTTTTGAAAATGTATAAAATGTATGTGAGATACATTTGGTTTTAAGGGCCAAGATGAATCCTGAGTTTATATAAATGGTTAAGATCAATAGATCTCCCGCCCAATGACTTCTCTCCCTAAAGCACCGTTCTCTTTCCCACCTACCCACCTTCTCTCTCTATCTCTCTCTCCCTCTCTGTTCTTCTTCTTGAATACATCTCTTTCACAGATACATCTCTCTCCCTCTCTGTTCTTCACGGATTCACAGTCATCTCTCTTCTTCTTCTGATCCTCTTAGGGTTTATATCCAACGCCGCCCAATCACTCCGATTCGATCTCCAATCGGGTCACAGCAAGTGCATAGCCGAATACATCAAGAGCAATTCCATGTCTGTTGCCAAGTACACCATAGTCAACCCCAACGATCCCCATCCCTTCCCCGAATCTCACAAAATCACCGTTAGGGTATCTTTTCATTTTCACTTTCTTCCATTTCCTCACCTGCCAAATGGCCTATTTTCAATTTTTCTCAGTAGATTTTTTTTGGGTTTTTCTTAGGTGACATCTGCGCACGGACATAGGTGACATCTGTGGAGTCAGGACAGTTTTCTTTTCAGGCGGCTGAGGCTGGGGATTACATGACTTGCTTTTGGGCCCTAGATCACAAGCCACAGTCTACGATCACCATTGATTTCGATTGGAAGACTGGTGTGGCTGCTAAGGATTGGACCAACGTTGCTACGATCACCATTGATTTCGATTGGAAGACTGTATGTTTGTTTGTTTGTTTTTTTTTTTCATTCGCTAAGTTCCATTGATGTTGGGTTTGTGGTGATTTAGAAATTTTTTTAGTTTGTTGGTGACAAAGAGCTTTGTGTTGCACATTTGAATGGGTGGTAAGGATCTTCTAATTAGTAATGTTTTGATTAGGCTAAATGGTGATGTTTTTGAGTTTGTTTCATGGTTGCTCATGGTTGTTCTGATTCAAAAAATAGTATTTGTTTTTGATAGATTAGGGTAAATAGTAATGTTTTGATTGGGGTAAATGGTTGTTTTGATTCAAAATACAGTATAATGATTCTGTTTGGGGCTGCCGGTGGGGCAATTATTATTATTATTATTATTATTATTATTATTATTATTATTATTATTATTATTATTATTATTATTATTATTATTATTATTTTGTCTGTAACTGAACGGCCTATCTATTTTGATTTCAATTTCTACAACTTTATAAGTAACCAAACAAGGGCTCTAGGTTTTCTTTGCATCTGTGTTCGTATGTCGTGTGGGACCAACAGACCAAGTTTTTGTTGGGATTGATCTACGCATGATTGTTGAATCCAAAAGCTTCTTACATAACATAAAAAACATTTTCATAACTTTTTTGAGCGGGGAACTTGAATCTTGATTGGCCTTTACACACACAATTGCTGGTTTCATAGTTTTTAGATGGTTTATATATATATATGGAAGTTTTAAATGGTTTTTTTTGGATACATTTTAACAAGATGGTGTTTCTGTTATTCACTTTTTGGAATTGAAATACAATTTTGTTCATGAAACACAATTTAAAAGTGATTTTTCTTTTCATATTTCTAATGTATTCTTAGCTTTAAGAATAATGTATTTTTTAAAAAAATTTTGCTCATTTAACGTTGTCGGCTGTAAGACACAATTTTTTGTTATTTGCTGTATTGAAGGATACTGATGTGTTATTGCTTCTTGGGCCATTTTCACCCAATCTTTTTTGATGTGTTAATTCAGAGTTATTCTTTGCTTCTTTTTGTTTGTTTAGGCTTAGTCATGAGGAGGTACAGTCCACCATACTATAGTCCTCGAAGGAGAGGATATGGGGGTCGAACGCGAAGTCCCCCGCGAAGGGGACTTGGGAATGGTTATGGGAGAAGCAAGGAACAAAATCATGGAAGCCTTTTAGTTCGAAACATTCCTTTGAACTGCAGGTGATTTTTCTTGAGAGAACTGTGAAAACTATAATCTTTAGTCTTTACTAAACTCTAATCTAATTTTATAATCTCTAATCTCTAATCTAATTTTATAATTAATTAATTAATTTCAACATTAATTTTTGTGATTGAAACATTTAAACATTGATTCGGTGAAACATTGAAACATTTTCCAATTTGTGATTGAAACATTGTGTCTGATGTTTACAGTTTGTGATTGATCATTGTTTTGGTTGGTTGTGTAGGAAATTTATAAGCCTGGTTTTTTAATTTTTTTTCTTACAATTATCATTATTTGGGTGGGGTAAGGGGAGCAAGAATCAAATTTCTTAGTCTGGTTTATTAAAATCAAATTGGGTATATTAAAATCAAATTTATAAGTATGGTTTATTAATTTTTTCTTACAATTATCAACTAAATTTTTTTTTTCTTACATTTTGTCTCATTTAAATCTAAACCACATTTCATTTTTTTATTTCAACGAATAGGCCCTTAACAGAATTATAGAATTCACGAATAGGCCCTTCACAGTATCATACTGTTCAAGCAAAAGTCTTTAGAATTGGTTGTTGAGAGTTTCATTGTTTTACATTAGTTTAATTGAAGTGGGTTTGAATCCCAATGGAACATCTATCCTATGGATTTAAAGGTTAAGATTGTTCATTTCACCGTTGGATATAGTTTGAAAGTTGAAAACATCTCAAACCCATTTCACTCCCCCTTCACCGCCTAAAACCCATTTCATCAACACTGTTTCTCTCTCTCTCTCTCTCTCTCTCTCAATTCAAGTGTAAGTAATCTATAGACTGGTATGTATGTGTTTATAATACATACATATGTATGTGTGTGTATGTATGTATTATACAAATGATTGATTTTGTGTCATTTTTTCCAGTTAAATTAAATTGTTTGTTTTGGTGGACTTTATGTGGTTCAATTAATGATGATTGAGATTCGATTTGGCTATTGATTTTATAGAGTTTGTGTTTCATTTTTTTCGTAACCAGGAGTCCAGACCCAAATTGCCCAACTCAACTTTTTATTCAGAGAACATGTGTTGACTGGTGAGACTTGAAAGAAAGGTATGAAATCTTTGTTTTGCTTACCAATCGAGCTATTGTTTGTTATTGTTTTAAAGGTTTTTAAATTAGAATGGGAGTTTCTCTTCACTATGATTTTATCAAGACTTGATGTTTCATTGTTGATATGAATATTATTATTATTTTTTTGTGTGTTCATTTTGCCACTTTTGGTTTTGTTTGCTGCCTTAGGATTTTATGTTTGATGGAGTGTATGTTTAGTGGGAATGATATTTTTGGTAGGGATGATTCAATTAGGTTCAGTAATGTTGTCAATTATAGTTCAATGCCGTTATCTTTTTGTTATTTTTGGAGGAGTTTTGATAAAGTAGTTTTTGATGAGATTTGGTTCTTTGACTGGTGTTGTTCATATGGGAGTTTAGGACGGTTTATTTATAGTTTCCATTTGTTGAGATCAACCCAAAGGTCAGTGGATAAACTTGAGCTATAGACTATAATGTTAGGCATGTTTTGAATTGGAGTTGAGAAATTCCAATAGGAGATTTGTGGGCTGACAGTGTTTAGAAACTGTATTATTACATGTTGATGTTATGAGGGATTTGCAATTACAATTAAGGAACACACACCCTATGTGAGAAATTTCTTGGAAAGTTCTGTGCTTGGCTTAAGCAATCCACATTACCTTTCTCTCTTTTTCATTTCTACAATCTGAAGATGATTAAATGTGCAACATTAGGGTATTCTTTTCAAATGGGTTTATCTATTTTCTTTCATAGACTTTGTTACAAACATTTTTTGGGCTGATTTGACTTTGTCTCTTAAAGGTCTCAAGGAAAATTGATATGTTCCAATTTCTTTTATTTTTCACCATCTATATCTACATGTTTAATTTCTTAAATAGTTCACTTCCTTCATGTTCCTAATTGACAAGGTCAATGATCTTATTTTATTGAATTTTAGATCGTCTTTCTTCATTAATTTACATCACCATCTAAAATCTTGCTTTTATTGACATTATGTTTCAGTTACTAGAAGAGTTGAGGAAGTAAAATTCCAGTGCTGAAATTCACCTATGTAATGCAAGTACTTTACCTTGGTCCTTCTCTATTTTTTGATTGCTCTTAGTATTACTTTTTTTTCCCTTTTTTCTGTTCACTTAGTAGTACTCCCATAGATGAATAAAGTACTTGACTAGATAACGAAAAATTTAAAACTGCGAACCATCACCTATTGGAGGGAGTATATCCTGCTATTTAGTATTCTCCCAAGTGATGCATTTCTTTCTGGACCTGGGAGCAATATTGAGGTATGTAAACTTAAAAACATAGGCTTTTGCAATTGAAGTATATAACTGAAAACTCAGACCCATTGAAACCAATACACTATTCTTCAATTGATATTCCTTGTTCTATTAAAGAAGCTGTATAAATAATACATATTTTTGCTATTTAGTAGGAGAGTCCATGCAACATTTACTTAATTTTTTGTGACATATTTTTTTCATTCATTTTAAAGATGCCTAATTTAATTATTATTTTTTTAAACCTATCTCTTATGGTATTGTGGAACTATATATATGACATGGAAAATAAGTATGGTAGTTTGTGTTTGAATTTTATAGAGTATGTCTATACGACATGGATAATATTGCCTTTCCTTTCAGCTTCAAGGGTATCAAATTCTTTGTTGGCTTTGTTCTAGAGGCATAAATAATTTTGTATCCATAGTATTAGGGTGTTTCTGAGAATTAGTGTTCTGCCATCTCTGGTTTCCCTTTCTATGGTATATTCATTTTTATTCAAGTATATTTTTAGGGTTCATTTGTCTTTATAACCAAGTTATTTATCAAAAACGAGGAAAGAAAAGTGTAAATTTTGAATTTTGTTTTTTTATGTAAATGTTACATGTCAATACTTCATTCTCTTTTTATAAAATATTAACAAACTTTTATAAAGGAATTTTTTTTTTGTTTTGCCAAGTTTTATAAAGGAAGTTTAAGTTCAATATTCTTAAAAACTATTAGGTTGGGCAGTCATGTTTTAAAATGTAAAAATATTTTATATAATTTTAAAAAAAAATTCACCAACAAAAAAATCCAAATTAAATGTAAAAAAATTAACCCTTAAAAAAATATTGGATAAGGCAACCTTACTGCTTGCCAAATTGGTGCAGAATATTGTTTTCAAGAATAATTCTCTTCTAAATTAGTAATAATTTTTTGGTAATGGAAATGGTATAAATCCAAAATTTTTAACCTGGAAAATATTTCAAAATTTTAGTGTACAATATAAATTTAAAATTAATAAAATGTAAGTCACACAATAATGATGTTATTATTTTGAAAACAATATGGAATTGGTATGGGAAGTATGGATCATGGAAATTGATTTAAAATTAATAAAATGTAAGTTACACCATAATGATATTATTTTGAAAACAATGGGTGATCCAATTTTCAATGGAATTGGTATGGGAAGTATGGATCATGGAAATTGATTTAAAATTAATAAAATGTAAGTTACACCATAATGATATTATTTTGAAAACAATGGGTGATCCAATTGTCAATGGAATTGGTATGGGAAGTATGGATCATGGAAATAGAACATGGATTGTGGAAAAAAATATATAGAAGGATATCAGATAAATGAGGAAGGAACCTTTTTTGACCATTGAATTATGACCATCCATTTTTGCCAATTAAATAGTAAACAACAAAAAATATATTTGGATAAATTATACTTTACTCATTTATGTTTAATCATTTTTTTATTTTAATTTTTTAGATTTTAAGTTTTTTTTAATTTAATCTTAAAAATAATTTTTGTTAAAAATTTGACAGAAAATGCTATAATAACCATTACATAATGTAAATATTATCCTAGGAAGTTGCATCACGTAACAGGTAAAACTCGAACCCAAACATCATCACCGGCAAGGGAGCACCTCATCTACTAGCCCAATCCTTGGTCTTACTCTGGTACATACTTTATAGACTCAAACTTGAAAAAGTAAAGAGTCAGTATTGTAACTTCATTGTCCTGACTGTGACATGAAAAACTCTCTTTTCCTTTCAATAGTTTAGCAAACTCCTAAATAGCCTTGCTAAGTTGGAACAATTAGAAATTCCAATTCATAGTCAAATGTGAAGTATGGCATGAATCTCTCGCTATTACAAATCCAGCAAGTTTGAGTTAAAATTAGACTGTCTTTTTGGAGTTATTTTCAAGAATTCAGTGGTTCCTCTTGCACTGGATATTTTATATCACTGCTGTAAAAAACCACTATTACCATTTTCGAAAACATCCTTCCCTTTAGTTTACTATTTCTCTTTAGCTTATACACAGATCTTAATGGTTTGGGTGTTTTAACATCGGCACTCTCTCCCTCACTCTATCTATACAGTGTTTTGACATCCTCTCATTTTAAACATGGGTTTGTTGAGTTTTTTTGGTATTGTTCAAATTGAAACCGTAAAATCATCTGATTCAATAATATTATATTAAGCTATTCATGCATTTGTTATTGTTCTTCAAATTATTTTTATTACTGCAATGAGTTCATTTTGTTGTCAAATTAGAGTTGCTTTTAAAGAATCATTTTGTTCTTTTTGATTTTTCATATTATTTTTCATATCATTTTGTTGATTTCTCATAGCTATTGGTTTTTTAAAGTGAATTTACGAGAGTGATTTTGTTGTAGGTGGCTGATCCGTATTGGAAACGTTGGGTTATGTTGCCTCTCTTTATGTGTGTAGTTGGTTGGCTCTCATTCTAAACCGGATGGTTAATTATTATTATTTTTAGTTAGATAGGATGATTACTCTTTTGTACCAAAATATTCGTTCACCTTTTCTTGAAGGTATTGAAATTTGATAAACTGAAAAGGTTACCAGTTATGATACTAATTTAGTAACATTCTTTTATTGAATGTTTGCTATACATGTGTCATTTTAACGTGGATTGAATTCTAATATTTGTTGTTTGGACTTGAATTTTAGCAAATATTTTTAGATTCTATTATTTGCTTATGCTACACTGTAATATAAAATTTATTATTTGGACTGTAATTTTGTAGTTTGTTATTTGAAATTTGTGAATGTTTTTGCCAGTTTACTATGTAGAAACAATTTCAACTTCTTATTTGTGAAGTATTAAACTGGAGTGATATATCATTTTAAATTGATTTATTACAACTGAATTCCGTAAACCGTGTGGTACCAAAAAAATTATTGACCGTGCCTTCAGGCACGGGTTATCCCTAGTATTTATATATGATAAAATGGTGATTCCATCCTGGTTTCACATTTGTAATAAAAGAAGACAGATACGCTCAGCCAGACCCCACAACAAACCACTGTTACTGTGACTTCCCTTTGTATCACTCCACACGCGTAGTACACAGTGTTGCTACTCGTTGCAAACAATGCTTTCAGCCCCACACTCCAAGTCTCTCATCACATCTGTATATAAAAATACATGGAGTCCGGATCCTTAACTCCTCAACTGATTTAGTAGTTAGGCTTATAACCATGGTTAGCTTGTGTTAGTTAGGAATATCTGTTAAGGTTATGGCTAAGTTTCTATAAAGCCTCACTATTGTTGAAAAGTTGTTCCCTAATTTTATTTTGAAATTCAAGTGAGACTTGATTGTCGGTTGAGGTGGGTCTTATTCTCAGAAAATTATAACATAAAAATAATAAGTTGAAACTATTAGGTTGTGAATGAAATTTGTCTCATAAAGTGGATATCACTAAAAGTTGGATTTAAATTTGGACATAGTTTAGATTGGGTCTAGGCTTGTGCTAGGTTTGGTTTTGGACTTGGAATATGACTTAGTCTTGAACTTGGGCTAAGTTATGTTGTGTTGGACTTAACTTGTGCATGCGTTTGAGATTGTGATTGGATCGGATTGTGACCCAATACCCATATCCGTTTTACAACCCATCTGTTTGAATTATTCAAACATCATTATATACGTATTTATATGTATATATTAAGTAAATGAAATTTTTAGGCTTTTGTAACTCTTATCTTTTGATGATGGAGTTGATGACTATATTAGTAGCCATGAGTTTTTAACCTTTATAACTCTAGCCCTAATAGCTGGAGTTGGTGGCCATTGATGCTAGGTTTTGTGGTAGTATTCATGGTTAAGACCTTTTCCCTATAAATATTTTTTTTATCTTCCTTTTGGCTAGCTTATTCTTTGATTCTTGTAAAGAGAGAGTGGTGTCATTGTCAAGTTTACCAAAACTATTTAGAATGTGCTTTTGCATGAGCTGATATCGACCGTTATATCTTGGGAGATAGACGCTGGTGCACCTCCAGCATCCATCGAGAGACAGTGAATCTGTTTTAAGGAAACTGTGGTATCACACAAGTTTCATTTTGCGTCTCTTATCTTTTGTTTTTCAAACTTTTAGATTTAAACTATTTCTTATATATTATTTTGTATGTCTATGTGGATCTATCTTGTAATATGTTCCATGATGCAATCTAGTTCATTATTATATTTTTAGTTTTGTGGTTTATTCTATATTTTATTATTTAATTTAAAAAAATTATTATTTTGTCATTTCTATTTAATTTTATTCTATATATTTTTTTAGTATTATTATGAAAAAATACCAACAACTATCTCTTTAATAAAATAACAATGAAATAACATCTCTCTTTGTGAATTTCTTTCATATATGCTTCCTAATTGCATCCAGTGAAGCTCAGGCAATTGGGAGGTGATCCTAAGATACTAAGGAGTCCTTTCTGCATAGTTTTAAACCTAATTGAGCAATGATATTTGACCATAAAATTACAAAAATAATTTTGTATCATGCTTTACAAAAAAAATTTATTTTTTATTTTTTATTTGTGATTAAGGGGTTGAACAAAATGTCACAAAGTATCGTAACAAGATGATTATGTGTCGTCTGTAATACTGACTCTACAAACAAGGTGCAAATAATGCACGAAAGTGTAATACGTGAAAAAAAATTCAAAATGTTAATCTTTTTTTTTTCCCCTTAAAAGACAAAATATATAAATAAATAAATAAATAAATTCTTTTTCCTTTCTTACTCACAATCAGCGATTTTTTCAAATAATGGTGGTGGTGGTACATCAGATACTCATTGACGCGTTGTCTTTTCAAGACTAAAGACGAGGAGGAGGATGGAGAAAAGGGAGCAGAGGAATTTTTTTTTTTTTTTTTCCGATTAACCAAATAAAGTTTATTGATGAGAAAAAACTATATAAGAGTACATAATACATCAATAAAGAAAAAGCAACTGTTCAAAGCATCACAACAAGCCACAATAATCACAACTATATTGCCACTATAGGGCTCACCAAATCATATGCTGAGCATCTTCCCACTGCTGGTGAGAAACTAAAGAAGTTTGTAATCACATTCTATTTCATTCTCAATTGAATTGTTCAAACATACATCACTCATACTTATACAATGAATCTAACAATCTAACAAACACTACAACTAACTCTTAACCAATTCTACAAATATCTATCTAAAATATCTGAGCTAATGACTTAGCAAAGCTGAGCTTGGAGATGCGGTTGGAGCTGCAGTTGGAACTGCTTCTGCAGGTTAAGCTAGCTGAGATATTATCCTCAACATTCCCCCCCCCAAGCTGATTGTAGACACCCTATTTTTGACGGCTCTTCAAGACTTAGATGTTCTTGTAGGTACATCTAATGACGAGTCTAATTGCTTAGCAAGCGCTCAAAGTCCTTAGCGGAACGCCACAGGTTTGAGTTTTTCAAACCCTACATCCTTTTTGACTCCTTTTTGGACCATGTCTTGGCCTCTCTCCCCTGCAGTCTTTGGTGGCCTGCCGGCCATCTATGAGGGCTGTCGGCCAAGACTTTTAGCCT